TTCTGAAAAAAGGCACTTCAAGGATCTATAACAAAAGAAAAAGCATATGAACAAAATACAGGTGATAATAGTTTTGGTCCAGAATCCTATGTGTAGAAATCAGTAACTCAAGTTTTAAGCTAATGTTAATATAAAGAAGTTATTAACAGACTTAAGAAAGAATGAACTCCAAAGAAGCCCAGAAGCAGATCTCATTAAATGAACTGATGGCTTCATTTAAACTGAAAAAAAAAAAAAAAAGCTCTGGCTTTGGAGTCTGAAAGTTTAAGGATTTTACCACTAACTCAACAAGTGTTTTGGGGCAAATCAGATCTGCAGATTCAATATTCTCATCTATAAAATGAAGGTATTGGATTAGATCAGTGCCATTTGGACTATTTTGACTGTGACTCACAGTAAGAAATATATTTTACTTTGGGATATGGGTGTATACACACTACACAAAAGTTTCACTAACCAACACTTTTCCTTAGGTAGAATACTAAGTAGTTTTTCTACGTAGTAGGATAAACTGTGATATTTTTACAATTTTGTTTCATTATTTTGAAAAACGTTGATTGCAGCACATCTACAGTTTAAATAACACTAGATGATCTCTATGAGCTCTGGTGGCACAGGGCCTAAGCCATTTGACTACTAATCAGAAGGTTGGCGGTTCAAACCAACCAGGCACGCTGCGGAAAGAAGACTGGGCAATCTACTTCTGTAAAGATTTGCCACCTTGGAAACCCAGGGAGGGGTCGCTATGAGTTGGAATTGACTTGACGGCAGTGAGTATAGGGATTCCAAGGCTGCAAGTCTTTCCAGAAGCAGACTACCTCATTCTGCTCCTGTGGAGTGGCTAGTGGGTTCAAACAGCCAACCTTTTGGTTAGCAGGCCAATGCTTTCCACTATGGCACCAGAGAGCCTAATATTCTGAAGATTTAAATGTAAACAATACAACCAGAAAACATCTTAGATGATGGCTTTATGAAATCTTGAGTAGAGTAGGCTTTTCTCTGCACATCCGACAGACCCAGCAACTTCTACAAGGTGAAAAAAAAAAATCTCAGATTTTCCCCTCAACCATCTACATCAACGACAGGGTGAGGGTGGGAATGTAAAAAGATAATAGAAAACAAAATCTGCACAAATGAAAGGTTTTTTTTTTTTTTTTTTAAGTTTAACAAAATAAAAGCTGTTACCAAAATGTAGTATTTTTTAAAAGGCAAGCCAACAATTACGTCAGGTAGATACACTCCTTGCAGTGATCAATCATGGGAGAACAGAAAGGCAGTGTTTCCACAGGGAGACAGCTGGGAGTGAGGGGGTGGTGCATGGGAAGGAAGGACACAGGGAAGCAGTAACTACAGGGAGGAAGTAAGAAGAGAGCTGTCACACTATGGGGAACTGCAGTCAATGTCATGAAACAAAATGCATATGAACTGCTGTATGGAAAAGGAATTTTCTCTGTAAACTTTCCCTAAAAATAACAACAAAAATTACAAAAAAAAAAAAAAAAAAGACAGAGGTCAAGGAAGAACAGCTTCAGTGCTGATGAAGTTATAAGACCACCAAACACTGTGGATGAACTATAAACTGATAGAAACTTTCAGGAAGGCACTGTGACAACATGTTTTCAAATGTAAAAAGTACATACATTACACATGACCTAGAAATTTCAGTAGAAACATAACCCAAGGGAATCAATCGGCAAAAAAATGCCCATAAGAGGGTAAAGAAAATGGGAGGAATGAGCAGTAGCATGCAATAATGCACAGATACACAAACACACACACACACACAGAATATCTATCTATGCAATGGAATACTAGTCAACTATTAAAAATGGTGATACAGATCTTTATAAACATGGAAAGGTGCCCTAAAACAACACATACCATATCTCTGTATAAAATAAAAAATTGTGTGTATGTATGTACATTTTTAAATGTTATATATATTTCTTAAACTGCCTAGAAAGATATATACTGAAAACGCAAATAGTGAGCATCTTTGGGTGATGAGATCAGGCCAGTGATGTAGGGTGCCTACATGGCAATGAGAAAACAGCCCTCTCTCCTGGAAGACATATCCCCACAGACAAACACCTTGCTAATTTTGCCTTCATGTGCATCAGAAGAAGGTACTTTCTCCAGGCAGATCCAATCAATCTTGAGCGCATACTTCAGCCTCCACTTACCACCACAGAAGCTTCCCCCCTCACCTCCTATACACTCACATACATCCTAGCCAGGATGCCCTTGTGCAGGTCACAACCTGCAGTTTAGGACAGTATTACAGATTACTTCATCCACCTATTTATACCATTCCACACTGGTTTATTATTTACAATAAGCACACAGATTTACTGTTGGTTGATTAGAGCAACATTTATTTTCAACTTTGAAAAAAGACCTTTAGATGCTTATAAAATGAACTCCGACTTTACTTTTAAGGAGCTGTGGTGGTGCAGTGGTTAAGGCATTTAGCTGCTAACTAAAAGGCTAGAGGTTCAAACCCACCAGCTGCTCCACAGAATAAAAATGAGGCAGTCTGCTTCTGTAAAGATTTATATAGCCTTGGAAACCCAACAGGGTTGGCTATGAGTCAGAATCAACTTAAAGGCTACGAGTTTGGTTAACTTTACTTTCACTGCTCCTAAAAACAAATTAAACAAACCCACTGCAACTCCAATTCAAGGAGACCCCATTTGTTAGAATAAAACTGTCCCGTAAGGTTTTTTTTTTTTTTTTCTGGCTGTAGTTTTTACAAAAGTGGGTCACCAGTACTTTCTTCCATGGCACTGCTGGGTAGGTTCAAGCCACCAATTTTTATGTTATCAGCAAGGCTTGGAACCAGTTCAGTCATGGCTGATGGAGTACAAGAACAGACCTGATTTTGAAAATTTGGGTGAAGTGGAAGGGTAACCAAAACAGGAAAAAGTATAGGTCAAAGCCCTGGAATGGGAAGAGGTGCAGTGAGCCCTTTCAAGAGCCTGATGCGGGAGACTGGATTATTCCCAGGGCTATAGAGAAAGACATACACACAAAGCAGCCAGGTTTGCCGCTATCTTCGAGCGAGGCACCACTGCTCAAATCTGGTATTCAAGAGATTCGGTCGCTATGCAATGTGTTCTCTCCTCTTGTTTTCTAAGAGGGAGACTAAGTTTTTAGCAAGGCATAAGCCCTGGCTCACCCAATTTAATAAATTTGGGTCTATTCCAGTTTAGCTTCGTCAGCCATAAATAAACTGGGAAGAACCAGCTCAAAGCCCTGGTTATTAATGTGGTGCAAACAATTTGCGCCACCTAGGGACCAACTACTTCTACAACTCATATATTGCCCTGTTTTGATAATTTGTGAACGTTATCTATTTAATGGCATATACTCAATAAAATTTCTCCCTACATATTATATTAGTTAGATAAGGAGCACTACTTGCAGTGAGAAATGCCATTCTAAGACAAAGATACTCAGTACTGGAAATGAGAAGGCACTGAAGATAGGAGAGGAGAAAGAAGGTGGTGGAAAAATTAATCCTTCTCCCACCAAACTCAAAAAATTCCTTCAGAAGAAAGTACATTCTAGAGAGAAGCAATTAAACTTTATAACTGGCCATCATTTTTTTCCCCCTATTTAACTCCAGATGCAAGATTTACTTTTTTCTCACAAAAGAGCAATTTAAATTAAAATGATGAGTGATTACTATAAAGTTAAGTGAAGCATCTGTAAAATAATATAACCACTAGACATGGATTAAAGGAGAACTGGGTTCTTGTCTTGGCTGTGTGGAATATGTAATTTTATGCAAAGCAAATCACAATCTCTCTGGGTCTCATGTTTTTCACATCTCTCAAGTGGGGGTAGGCTAAACCTTTAACTCCCTTTTAGCTTTTGATAGGACTTTAAGTCTCTTTGTCACAGAAGAGCCAATTTCAGTAAGCAGCAACTTTATTTTCTGAGTCATAGCGAAATTTACTTTCTTCATGATTCTCAAAACTGCAGATCCAAACCCACTCTAGAATTTTATTCCTACTCAGAAGAACGGTGTCAAGGCCCATTAACAAAATTACTTTCCAAAAGGCAGAAGAAGTACAATTAGTTAAGCATAAAGGCAAAAAAGCACTAATCCTTATTCAAACATTATGTAATTTTTTTCATAAAAAGACACCCTAAAAAAACACTACACTGGCTGATGGCGCAAATATTTCTTTTAAAACAAAGAATTGAAGCATTGAAAAACTGCTAAGATATACAATCATCACTCACATGTTTTGAAGTCACAGTAAAAAAACTGTGCAGTTCAGACAGTATTACTTTTCCCAAAACAAGCAAATTGTAAAGAAGAAAATCTCTGTAATCAAAAAGAAATTAGGGAGGAATCAACCTTTTTAAAGGTCCAAATTCAAGTGCACGTTCGTGTGCAATGCCCTGTGATTAACTACACATTCACTCAACCAACCCACACATTCACTCAACGCTCTTCTGACCCGCTGGGGTGGCGGCGAGGACAAGTCACAAGATAGCGGCGGCAGTGGAAATTTCCTATCCCGGCCGTGGGGCAGGGTCTGGCTTCCCGGAACTGCTGGGCGCCTCTGCCAGGGCCTCTCCCAGCCGGCGTGCTCGGTACAAAGGAGGCCCTAGGGCTCGGCCCCAGCACGCTCGGAGCTCGGCTCCAAGCAGGAGTCGCAGCTTCCGGCGCCGCTCGGGGCTGGAGGCCCGGGCTGCACGTGGAAGGAACCGAACCTTCCCGGCGGGATTGCCCAAAGGCCCCGCCGTCCCGGGGTGGAGCGGCGGCCCGCCCAGAAATGAATGGGCCGCTGAGGCGCGGGCCGCGCTCCGCCGCCGCCACTTGCGCTAAGAGTCAGCGGTCAGGGACGAAAGTCTCTGAAGGCGGTGGAGCTATAACGAATCCTGGGCCACGGCGCGGGGGAGCCACCTCCCGCCTTTCCCACCCAAGCCTGCCTGGCGCCCCCGGATCGTCGCCGGCCTCAGGCGCCCAACTGCCGCCCGCTCACCCCAACTCTTGGCGGTTCGCCCTAGGAATTCTCCGGTGGTCGGGTTATAAATGAAGAGCTTCCACTCTGCCAGGCTCTGGTTGAAGGACTTCTTGTCTTTCTTCGTCATGGTGGGCGTGAGTGGACAGTGAGGTGGGCGGAGGCCGCGAGGGTGGATGCGGCAAGGAGCGCGGAGGCGCGTCCAGGCTCAGGCAGCGCAGCCCGGCGGCAGCGGCGGCGGAGGGCGGAACAGCGAAAGACACCACCTTGCTGCGGCGTACACTCGAGCCGACTGCGGCTCGCCGAGCCGGGCAGCCGTTCGGGCTGCTGAAGCCTGACGTCTCCAACGCCCCAGCCAATCCCCGCGCCTCTCGGCCCGCGCCGCCGCCGCCGCTACCGCCTCCCGCCTCCCGCCTAGCGGCTAAGGCACCGCCCAAAGCTGAGAAGCGCCCCGCCCATTCCACGGCCCCGCCCACGGCCCCGCTGTCCCAGCCCATTTGTGATGAACCTCCCTGCAGTTTCCTTCCCTCCTGGCCGGGGGAAGCAAAAGCTACATATAGAAACTTTAAAAAATCATAAAGGCCTAGAAGTAATCAAATTCACCAAGAAGTCTGTGTCTCTGACCCGCAGGTTTCAAGGAGGAGGATTGTGTTTCCTGGGTGCTCTGGAGAGCACCGGAACGACTCCAGTTTGCCCAAGACCCCCTCACCCAGAAGGGGAGGCCAAGATATTAACCACCTCCCCTACCCAAACTGCCTCCTTAAGGGTCTTTAAGAGTTCTCTTTGGGGCTCTATGACGTACAAAAAGATACTCTGCTGTAATATCTCCTGAAGGAATTACAGTGCAGCTGCTCAGAGAATGTTCTTACTTGGCTCTTTTAAAGGACTCTAGAATTAGGAAGCAATCTTGAGTCAATGAGAATTTCATTCTAAATATGCCGATATTAATTAAAAAGTATAATTCTTCTCCAGATTCAGTTGAATTTGTCAATTAAATCAATATACATGTTTTCCTGGAGCTCCTGTCAGTTAAAAGCCCCTCTACTTTTTATCAGACCCTCAAATTCCTAATCTACAGGAAAGTAATGCTTCCTTTAGTGCCAATGCCTACATAACATTAGCGGCTTTTCATCTTTTTCACTGTAGTGGACGCGCCTCTTGGGCGGAGCTGAGGGTGCAGTAGGCGTTTTCTTAAACAAGATGGGGCTAAAGAGTACAGCACCCTGGGACTGTTGCAACAGGATAAAAAGACCTACATAGCAGATTAAGGAGAATGTGCATTTTATAAAGAAAGGGAGAACTGACTCTATTTTATTAACAAATAAAAAATTATGAATGAAGAAATATAGCACACATTGTTTGGAATGACAAATTATAATCCAAATGGAAGTTTAAACACAGCTTGCCAGTGCTTTGGAAGGAATGGATAAAGAAAATCTGGCTTTTCCCTTGTTTTGCTTATCAAAGCAAGGGATTATGATTTATGTCTCACAAACGGATGATAGGACAACATATTTATTGTAAAGTAGGTTTTTGGTTTTTTTAAAGAAAGCAAAATTTACAATGATGATTTTAGGAAGGATAACCAACCAGTTACTTTTTTGAGCCAATGACAAAAGATTTGTAGAAACATTATGTAAAAGTTGCCATAAAATTAGTATAACAAATAGAACACCATGAATGCCAACGAGAATGCATTTCTTCAGGTCATAAGCAAGGTAGAATCAGCAGAATGGAAGAATGGAAATAGTTAACTATTTTTATCTTATTGAAAATCTAACTACAAATTAGAGAAGAGCTAAAATACTGGTAGCATTGATAACAGGCTTTTTAGTTTAAGTAAGAGTGAAGATAGTCTGAAATAAAATATCAAACCCTGTGTGTGTGTGTGTGTGTGTGTGTGTAAAAGTAACAAGCACATTTTAAGGAAGAATTACCTGGCACACACAAAAACATAGATGGTAAACAAGAATATTGTGATTCTTTCAAAGGTATTAACAAAATGACTGCTGTCAATTTTTACTTCATGTATTTTTGTATTTTATGTTAATATGACTTTCACACATGGTGCTTTGTGATTTACCAAATAAGGATTTCAATACAAATATAATTCAGTAAAAAGTTTCAAAACACATACCTAGGTTGGTTTGATAACTACATCCAACAGATTTCACTTTGAGAGGAATATTACATTCTACTCCAGAACATGGGGAATATTTGCTTCTCTGATATTTGACTCTTGACCATTACCTGGGAAAGAAAATACTGAGCATATTAGGGGATATTGACCTACCAAGTTAGGAGCAGATGAAGGATTGAATTTAATCACAGTTTTATTCCTGGCAGGTTTATTCTACTGTACCTAAAGCTCCCTTTTTTCAGAAAGGAGACATTATTTAGCTACCTATAGATTGGGTTGCCAGAGGCAATACATGATGCCCACTGAAATTTGAATTTCAGATAGACAATGGATAATTTTCTTATTTTAAGTGTCTCCCATGCAATATGTGGGACATACTTACACTAAAAAAAAAGGATTTGTTGTCTGTCTGAAATTCAGAGTCTGTGGGTAGTACAAATGGTGAATGTGCTCTGCTGCTAATCCAAAGGTTGGAGGATCAAGTCTACACAGAGGCACCTCTTCTCTGAGGAAAGCCCTGGAGAACTACTTTCAAAATATGAGCCACTGAAAACCTATGTGGTGGTGGTGGTAGTTTTCACTGCCATGGAGATTCCAACTCCTAGCGACCCCTCCTTGGGTTTCCCAGGAGGTATTTCTATGGGAATAGATTGCCCAGTCTTCCTTCCGAGGAGTAGCTGGTGGGTTTGAAAAAAATCCTATGGAGCACAACTTTACTTTGACACATATGAGGTTGCCATAAGTCAAAGTAGAATCCATTGCAATTGTGTGTGTGTATATGTGTTATTTTCTTTAATCTGAAATTCAAATGTAGCTGGATATTTGGTATTTTTATTTGCTAAATATGGCTTCCCTACCTGAGAATACCTGTGAATCCCACACTAAAAACAATAGCAATCATTTAGAAATACTTTATAGTCTTGGTAAACCAAGGGGGGTTGTTATGAGTCAGAAATGACTCAATGGCAGTGAATTTGGTCTTTTTTTAATCTAAATCCTAAGTCGTGTAGTATTTGCTTAGTGTGATTGATTTCTTAATTCTCACAGATACTCTAATTTTATAACCGAAGAAACAGAGGTTTAGATAAATTAGGTAACTTGCTCGTGATCAAAAATCTTTTAAGTGACAGCACATATATTCAAATGTCCTTCCATTACTCAGTATAGCCTCTGCAGTAAATGATCGCAGAGCTCTGGGGAAACTTCACAAAGCTGAACAAGGTAGAGTGAAAGACTCTGCTCTCCACACAGCAGAGTCCATTTTCTACTTTATATGGCCATTGATAAGGTATTTGAAACCAAATCTACTGGCTACCAGTCCATTCCACCTTATAGCAACCCTAAAGGACGGGGTAGGACTGCTACATAGAGTTTCCAAGGCTGTACATCTTTACAGAAGCAGACTGCCTCATCTTTCTCCTATGGAGAGGCTTGTGGGTTTGAACCGCCAACCTTTTGGTTAGCAGCTGAATGCTTTAACCACTATACTATGAGAGCTCCTCAATTTAAGAGTTGACTCTTAATTTACTACAACTCTTAGTTTGATTCCTGAATTTTAGAATCATGTGTACACAGAAAAGTATTTCAGTTTTCGTATCTTATTTATAACTTGGTGTTACAATGATGTAACTATAATACTGAATCACTGAAAGACCATTATTTGCCCCTGGAAGAATAATTATTAATTATTAAGATTTCCTTAGAGATAACTCTTTTCAATTGCAGTCAATGTCATGCAACAGAATGTGCGTGAACTGCTATATAGAAATAAATTTGCTCTGTGAACTTTCACCCAAATCACAATTAAAAAAGAAAAGAAAGAAATAGCCCTTTCCCATAAGCAGCAGCCACAATTGTGTTGGCATTTTACATAGAAGAAAATCTTAAAAGGTTCCAAAGAACAAACAAGTTACCTATAATGGGACAAAAATCTGATTGGTACCAGATTTCTATCAACAACACTCAGTACCATAAGAGAGTAGAGCATAGCCTTCAGAGTTCTGAGGCTCAGAATATTATACTGAACCAATAAACTCAAACTCACTGCCACTGAGTCCATTCCAACTCATAGCAACCCTATAGGACAAGGTAGAACTGCCCTATAAGGTTTCCAAGGCTGTAAACTAATGGAAGTCGACTGGCTCATCTTTCTCCCATGGAGTGGCCAGTGGGTTAAAATCGCCAATCAGAAAATTATACCCAGTCGAATTATCACTCAGCTCTAAGCATAGAACAAAGACATTTTCAGACACCTCAGAACTCAGCCTACCTCTCACAGATCCTTTGTGGAAAAAAATCAATTAAGGATGGACCAGTAAAAGAAAAAAGGGAGGAGGGGTTGAAGGATTCACGTATGATAAAATCTTGGAATCCAGGAAACACTAGTCTGAACCCAAGAGTGTAATGAAAGGAAGCCCTAGAATGACAGCTGTACAGCAGGCCAAGTGAGCAGCTGGTTGTGAACCGAGAATATCTTCAAGAAGAAAATGGATTTCATGCCGCAGAGTGGGATTTAGATTCTGGGCAACTGTTGTCATATGGGAAAGGCATGTGCTCTTTTGTTAAGAAGGAAAAAAAAAGAAAGCAATTAAAAACTGTGTTCTGAATTTAAAGCATATTTAATATAAAGCAATATATGGCATTATTTTGAGCAAGTAATGGAGTGTTTCAAAATATAATTTTTTGTTCTTAATGTTTGGCGCATCCTCTTTCTAATGGCTCAGGGCTAGTGAGCCCATTCTAACATGATGCACTTTGTTTTACGGTGAATAATATTTACATAATCAAAATAGTAAAATTGCAACTTATTAACATTCAGTACTTAACCAAAAAACAAAACCTACAGCCATGGCGTCAATTCCGACTCTATGACCATATAGGACAGAGTAGAACTGCACGATATTGTTTCCAAGGCTGTAAATTTTTATGGAAGCAAACTGCCTCATCCTCCTTTTAGTTAATGTTGCTGTTTTTGTTATGTGCCGTTGAGT